CAGCCAACTAGAGGTGGAGGTAGAGATGCTAAAGGTGGAGGTAGAGGTGTTAGAATGGGAGGTCAAGCTGCTAGAGGTGGAGGCCAGCCAGCAATAGGCCGTCCCAGAGATGTAGTTCAGAGTGGTGGGGCCCAGCCCCAATGTTATACTCTTCCAGCCAGACCTGAGGCTGAGGCTTCCGATGCAGTTATCACAGGTACCGTTCTGGTTTGTTGTAGGGATGCTTTAGTGCTATTTGATCTAGTGTCTACATACTCCTATGTGTTATCTTATTTTATATCGTATCTGGTCATGCCTAGTGATTCCTTGAGTGCTTCTGTATATGTGTCTACACCGGTGGATGATTCTATTGTGTTAGATCATGTCCATCGTTCATGTATAGTTGTGATTGGGGGTCTTGAGACTCGTGTAGATTTATTACTTTTGGACATGGTTGATTTTGATGTCATATTGAGGATGGACTGGTTATCACCTTACCATGCTATCTTAGACTGTCATGCCAAGACTGTGACCTTAGCTTTACCGGGGTTTCCTTGTTTAGAGTGGAGAAGGAATCCTAGTTATTCTACCCGTAGTGTTATCTCATATATGACGGCTCGATGTATGGTCTAGAATTGGTGTTTGGCCTATTTGGCATATGTTCGTGATTCTAGTGCCGAGGTTCCTTCTATTGATTATGTGCTTGTTGTTCGTGAGTTTCCTGAGGTATTTCCTTCAGACCTGCCGGGTATGCCACCCGACTGGGATATTGACTTCTGTATTGATTTGGCTCCAGGCACCCAACCCATTTCTATCCTGTCGTATCATATGGCCCCGCCTGGGTTGAAAGAGTTGAAGGAGCAGTTGCAAGACTTGCTTGAAAATGGCTTCATTAGACCTAGTGTCTCGCCTTGGGGTGCGCCGATATTGTTTGTTAAGAAGAAGGACGGATTGATGAGGATGTGTATAGATTACTAGCAGTTGAACAAGGTTACAATCAAGAATAAGTATCCATTACCGAAGATTGATGATTTGTTTGATCAGCTTCAGGGTGCCAAGGTATTTTCGAAGATTGGCTTGAGATCTGGCTACCATCAGTTGAGGATTAGGGCATCTGATGTCCCTAAGACAACTTTCCGCACTCGGTACGGTAATTATGAGTTCTTGGTGATGTCATTTGGGTTGACAAATGCCCCAGCAGCTTTTATGGATTTGATGAACTGAGTGTTCAGGCCTTACTTGGATTCATTTGTGATAGTCTTCATTGATGACATTTTGATCTATTCCCGCAGCCGGGAGGAGCATGAGTAGCATCTGAGAGTGGTTCTTCAAACTTTGAGAGATAGTCAGTTGTATGCTAAGTTTTTGAAGTGTGAGTTTTGGTTGAGTTCAGTTGCTTTCTTAGGTCATGTTGTTTCAGCAGAGGGTATTTGGGTAGATCCGAAAAAGATAGATGCAGTCAAGAACTGGCCTAGACCATCATCAGCTACAGAGATTCGGAGTTTCTTAGGTTGGCAGGTTATTATCCTCACTTTGTGGAGGGGTTTTCATCTATTGCAGCCCCGATGACCAGGTTGACCTAGAAAGGTGCCTAATTCAGGTGGTCAGACGAGTGTGAGGTGAGCTTTTAGAAACTAAAGACAGTTTTGTCTACGGCGTCGGTGTTGGTTTTTCCCACAGGTTCAGGGCCATATACAATTTATTGTGATGCATCTCGTATTGGACTTGGTGCGGTGTTGATGCAGGATGGCAAGGTCATTGATTGTGCTTCGCGTCAGTTGAAGATTCATGAGAAGAACTATCCAGTCCATGATTTGAAGTTAGTAGCCATTGTTCACGCATTGAAGATTTGGAGCCATTATTTGTATGGCGTGGCATGTGAGGTGTTCATGGATCACAAGAGTCTTCAGTATTTGTTCAAGCAGAATGAGCTAAATTTGAGGGAGAGAAGGTGGTTGGAGCTATTGAAGGACTATGATATCACCATCTTATATCATTCGGGGAAGGCCAATGTGGTGACCGATGCTTTGAGTAGGAAGTCAGCCAGTATGGGCAGTCTTGTGTATATTCCGGTCGGTGAGAGACCGCATGATTTGGATATTCAGGCTTTGGCCAATCAGTTCGTAAGGTTGGATGTTTCTGAGCCCAGCCGTGTATTATCTTGCACAGTCGCTCGTTCTTCTTTACTGGAGTGTATCCGAGATCGGCAGTATGATGATCCTCATTTGTGTGTCCTTAGAGACACGGTGCAGCACAGTGGTGCCAAGCAGGTTACATTAGGAGATTATAGAGTTTTGAGACTACAGGGTCAAGTTTGTGTGCCTAATGTGTATGGACTCCGAGAGTTGATTTTAGAGGAGCCTCATAGTTCCCGATACTCTATTCATCCGGGCGTCGCTAAATGTATTAAGATTTGCGGCAACATTATTGGTGGAGAAGGATAAAGAAGGATATTGTTGCGTATGTGGCTCGGTGTTTGAACTGTCAGCAGGTAAAGTAGGAGCATCAGAGACATGGTGGTTTGTTTCAGAGTATTGAGCTTCCTGAGTGGAAGTGGGAGCGTATAACTATAGACTTTGTGTGGGACTCCCACAGACTCAGAGAAAGTTCGATGCAGTGTGGGTTATTGTTGATAGGCAGACTAAGTCAGTGCATTTCATTCATGAGGCACTCTCCTATTCTTCTGAGAGGTGAGCTGAGATCTTTATCCGGGAGATTGTTCATATTCACGGTGTGCTCGTGTCTATCATTTCCGATCGAGGTACGCAGTTTACCTCGTATTTCTGGAGAGCAGTTCAGCATGAGTTGGGCACACGGGTTGAGTTGAGTTGAGTAGATCATTCCATCCTCAAACGGACGGACAGTCCAAGCAGACTATTCAGATTTTGGAGGATATGCTCCGAGCTTGTGTTATTGACTTTGGAGGCTCGTGGGATCAGTTTTTGCCTTTAGCGGAGTTTGCCTACAAAAATAGCTACCAGTCGAGTATCCAGATGGCTACTTATGAGGCTTCATATGGTAGGCGGTTTCGGTCCCGGTTAGATGGGTTGAGCCGGGAGAGGCTCGGTTGTTGGGTACGGATCTAGTACAGGATGACTTGGACAAGGTCATGATTATTCAGGATAGGCTTCGTACAGATCAGTCCAGGTAAAAGAGTTATGTCGACCGTAAGGTTTGTGATGTGGCATTAATGGTTGGCGAGCGAGTGTTGCTTCGGGTGTCACCTATGAAGGTCGGGATGAGATTTGGAAAGAAGGGCAAGCTTAGCCCTAGGTTCATTGGCCCGTTTGAGATTCTTGATCGAGTGGGGGAGGTGGCTTACAGACTTGTGTTGCGCCGAGTTTATCAGTCGTGCATCCAGTGTTTCATGTGTCTGATCATAGGCTAAAAACTCGTGTTTTATTCATTGTAACAACACTTTAATTATTGCATTTTACACAGGTTTGAGCTTAAATAATAATGAATTGTACTAAATTCATGCTTTATGCCTTGCAGGAAGCTAATCCGACTTAAGAAATAAATTTGGGATGAATTTGACTGATTTTGGGCTTTAAAGTCTGATTAAAAGCTAAATAAATCAAGTCGAGATCGTGTTCGAGGGTCGCAAAGCAAGCCCGGTAGCAAAAAAAATGAAACAATGCAACAGCACAAAAAATTATTTTCGCTGCATTGTTTTGCTCCGTTAAAATGCATTCTGCCTCTGTCCCATCCATGTACGCGTCGCACGGGGCGCCGCAGGTGTGTAAAAATCACAAAATTATTCTATTTCGGACTAAAAAGGGCATACTCGTCAAAACCCCTTCCTACACGATTAAAAAGGCAAAAAGCAGTGCCATTATTGGGAGAGATCTGTTTTTGAAGAGAAAAAGAAGAAAGAGATTCATCTTGAAGAAGAGAATCAAGTAGGAACATCAACTTGGAGCAAGGATTAAAAGAGTTTTTCTAAACCTTCTCCTAGTATTTACTCATATTATGTTTAAGATTTTTATTGTTGATGTTTGTATAATTATGAGTGGCTAAAAACCCAAATATTCTGGGGTTATGGGTGTTAGATGATTATGTTGTTTGAAGCTTAAATTGATGATCTTGAAATTATCGCTAAGGGTTGTTTATTTGATTCTGCTGTTAATTATTTTACTGCGTAGCTAACAGTGAAATACTATTTACGAATCTTGAGTTAAACTTGAAAAAGGAAATTCTTGATTGCATATAGAATCAAATAGAGCAAGATCTGGATCCTGGGCATCGGGTGAAAGATTCGCGATTAAGATAGAACTATACTTAATTGTCTTGTTTGGTTGAGAAATAGGATTTGTAAATGTAGTTGAGTTAATATTAATACCATAGAAATATAGGTATTAATTTATCTTGAATAGGCGCATAAGAAATCGACAGATTCTTATGGGTATTATTAACTCTATAATAAATAACCCAGATAATTCAATAAATTATTTTTAAGCTAAAAACGTAGCATGATCTCTAGCAAGCCCATAACCCCGGATATCTTCTTTATTAATTGTTAAAAGAAAAATTCATAAGTGGCGTAGTAACTTTGCGTTGTATTATTGTTTGTCTACTAGTTAAATTATAAATTGGTTATTTATATATTTTGTGATGAATTAGCTTGAATCGATAATTGTTTGAGTTTGCATCAATTGTTAAGTTAATCACAAGTCCTCGTGGGAACGATACTCTACTTATTACTATATTACTTGAAGATCGCATACACTTGCATGAGTGTTTTGGTCGCAACAAGTTTTTGGTGTCGTTGTTGGGGACTTGGAAATTAGCTACTTGACTAAGTCAAGCTTTTATAAGCTATTGGTTTAAGTATTAATTTTCAGTTCACTTTGTTTATGTCACGCAGGCTCTTCTCTTGAATGAGGAGGAGTAGAAGCACAAGCAATATCTTCCCTCTTGATCCTGAAATTGAAAGAACACTTCATAGAGCGAGGAAGGAGTTGGAATCTAGATACAAAACAGAAAGAGAGTTGGACATTTTAGTTCAACCATAGCCAGTGATGGCAGGTAATGGAGGGCGTCCGGTGATAGAAGCTGCAAGGCCAAATCTTTCTAATATGACCCAGGCTATTGTCAAGCCTGATATCACTGGTCACTTTGAGCTTAAACAGTACATGGTACAGCTGGTTCAGTCCACTAGGCAATATGTAGGTCTATCTCATGAAGACCCGTAGAGGCACATTCAGAATTTTTTGGAAATCACGGATACTTACAACTATCCAAATGTTTCCAAGGACTATGGCAGGATAACCTTGTTTCCTTTTTCATTGTTGGGAAAAGCTAAAGAATGGTTGCAGAAGGAGCCTACTAATTCAATCCATACTTGGGATGATTTAGCAAAGAAATTTTTAATCAAGTTTTTCCCCACTAAAAAGACAAAGTCTTTGCGGAGCCAGATTTTTGGGTTTCAATAACGGGATGGTGAGACTCTTCGCCAAGCTTGGGAAAGATACAAGAAACTACTCCGAGACTGTCCACATCATTGTCAAACTGATGAGGTATTGGGCCATACTTTTATTGGTGGATTAGATGAGACTTCAAAGATGAATCTTGATTCAGCTTGTGGAGGTAGTTGCATGGCGAGACCATATAGTGAAATACAACTTCTGCTAAACAACTTCACTGCTAATAATCATAATTGGCAAGGTGAGGGAGAATTAAGGAGAGCAATGAAACAGAAAGCAGCATGGGTTCTTGAACTTGATGATTTTTCAGCCATGAGAGCATATATAGAAAAATTGGCAAATCAAATGAATAGAATGACAATGAACCATACACAGCAATTGCAACATGTTCAACAAATGTCGATTTTTTGTGAAATGTGTGGTGATAATCACACAAGTGACATGTGCCCAACGAATTCTGAATCTATTTATTATGTGGGACAACAAAGCAGAGGTCCGATGAACCAACAGGCACAATATGGGAACACTTACAATGCACATTGGAGAAATCATTCTAATTTCTCTTAGGGTGGAAATAAATCAAATCAGAATTAATATAGACCCCAAGGAAATTTTAATCAACCACAAAAGCCACCCCAACAGGTAGAAGAAAGTACAAATAATTTGTTGAAAAAATTGTTGCATGACAATCAACAACTCAGAATTGATTTCAAAAATCTTGAAAGGCAAATGGGACAGCTAGCTACAAATCAAAACACTAGACCCGCAGGTGCTCTTCCAATTGATACAGAAAAAAATCCGCAAGTTAGTGCAATTACACTTAGAACTAGAAGGGAATTAGAAAAAGTTTCAAAGAAGAGAAAAGACAAGCCTATACCTGAGAGTGAATTGATTCCCAAAGCAACACAGGAAGCAAAGAAAGATGATACAGTTTCAGTGCCTGTGAATGTTACAAGGCCACCACCACCTTTTCCACAAAGATTGCAGAAAAAGAATGATGATCGCATGTTCAACAAATTTCTCTCTATGTTGAGTCAGATTCAATTGAATATTCCGTTGGTAGATGTGATTCGTGATATTCCAAAGTATGCCAAGTACATAAAAGATATTGTGTCTAACAAGAGGAGATTGATTGAATTTGAAATAGTTGCACCTACTGAGGAGTGCACTTCAAGGGTCCAAAATAAGCTTCCTCAAAAGCTTAAGGATCCTGGCAGTTTTACTATCCCCGTGAGAATAGGCAATGTTGATGTAGGTCATGCACTTTGTGATTTGGGAGCAAGAATAAATTTGATGTCATTGTCCTTGTACAAAAAATTGGGTTTGGGAGCTCCAAAACCCACCACTATGATGTTGCAACTAGCAGACAGGTCCATAACTTACCCGGAAGGGGTGATTGAAGATGTGCTGCTGAAAATTGGGAAATTCATTTTCCCAGCTGATTTCATTATCTTAGATTTTGAAACAGATGAAAAAGTTCCTATTATATTGGGAAGACCTCTCTTGGATACAGGTGATGCTATAATTAAAGTAAGAGAGGGAAAAATGATCATGAGAGTTGACAACGAGGAAGCTGTTTTTAATGTATACAAAGCAATTCAACTTCCTCGCCATTATGAAGGATTGTCTATGATATCTGCCATGGAGATGGATGAGCAATTTATTGCCCCAAGTGTATATTTGAAGTATTCTTTAGAGAAAGCAATTGTGTTGTTCGAGAGTTTGGAGATTAATAATGAGGTTGAAGAGATAAAGCATATTTTGAATGCATCATGTGAATATATTAAAGGTTTAAATCCCTTTGAACCTTTGAATAGACCAAATGGTTCTCATCCGAAGCCATCAATTGAAGAAGCTCCAAAATTGGAACTAAAGCATTTACCTTCTCACCTTCATTATGCTTATTTGGGTAGTTCTGATACATTATCTGCTATTATTTCTTCTGACTTGTCTGAATTGCAGGAGGAAAAATTGCTGAGAGTACTACGTGAGCATAAAAGAGCAATTGGGTGGATAATGTCTGACATGAGAGGTATTAGTCCAGCTTTTTGCATGCATAAAATTCTCATGGAGGAAGGACACAAGCCGAGCATAGAACAATAATGCCGCCTAAATCCCAACATGAAAGAGGTGGTAAGAAAAGAAGTGATTAAATGGCTTGATGCAGGTATTGTATTTCCAATCTCTGATAGCAAATGGGTAAGTCCAGTCCAATGTGTTCCAAAGAAAGGAGGAATGACCGTAGTGACAAATGAAAACAATGATCTGATTCCCATTAGAACTGTTACTGGGTGGAGGATTTGCATAGATTATATAAAATTGAATAATGCCACCCAAAAAGACCATTTTCCTCTCCCCTTTATTGACCAAATGTTTGATAGATTAGCTGGGCAAGAATACTACTATTTTTTGGATGGTTACTCGGGATATAATCAGATTGTTATAGCCCTAGAGGACCAAGAGATGACTACATTTACATGTCCCTATGGGACATATGCATTTAAAAGAATGTCATTTGGTCTTTGCAATGCA